CAACCCAGACCATTCTGTGATTCCATGATTCCATTCACAACTATTCACATGAATCAGTGTATTCATATTTGTTATGTAAATGCCTCCTTGGAAACACTAATCTAAACCCCAGCCACTCATTCACGTCTTTCCAAATGGATGTTTTTCTGTTGCCTTGCAGTACAGACCACATGTATCTATGATGCTAGTTCTTTAAAACTATGTACATAATATGGAACAAATTATGTATGTACAATATTTTCTGCACGCACTTAAGAATCTGGCAGTGAATATCGTCATGAGTTACACAGTGGTACATTTACAATGACAAGAATCTTCTTGCGTGCAGCATGAGAATTTTGCTGAGGTATTTCATTATGACCTGTGAGTTATACTTTGACTCCTTGGTTCTGGGACACGGTAATTGCACCAATTTATGACAGAGCTGAGTTAGATTTCCTTTATCGAGTACTGGTAGCTGAAGCACAATAATAAAAAAATCTTTTAACAATGCAAGTTACTATTACCACAGTATAAATTGAAAACCTAATTTTAAACTTTCATCCTCTGTGTTTCTGTAGCAGCAGTTACTTCCCAGATTCACTCAGTACTAAGGATAGGCTCGAGGTATGGAGAATTCAAGGTTACAATGGCTGTGTCTAGAACAAGAAATAATTACAATTGTTACATACTTGCTAAATTACTGTTTAAATACTCTGATTATTTTTTATTTTCTCTTTAGCTCCTTGCTCAGAAGTGGCCTTTTGGAGATTCTGAATTTGGACAGTTTCTTTGCAAATTCCTCCCCTTTATACAGAAGGCATCAGTGGGAATCACAGTCCTTAATCTCTGTGCCCTTAGTGTGGACAGGTACAGTATGTTTGACTCTTTTGACAGACACTATTCTCACCCTTCTGGTTTTCCTAAAACTGAGAGCACTTGGTGTGGTCTTCTTAACAGGCAGACTACAGTATAGATGCAACTTGCCTTCTGTTTTCTGATATCCTGCCTATAACAAAGCGCCACACGTGTGGCTCCATCATGCACATTGTGTCCCTGGACGGCGCAGCAGCCATGAGGATTCATGGCCCCACTGCCAGCATACGCCTTCCACTGACACAGGTTGCCCTCACTTCCGGGCCGCAGTCTTCTAGTGCTGTGACTCAGAGCACTTGGGGGAAAAAAAGGTCTCTGAAAAAGATTTTGGGAAGGAAAGCAGACTGTACTGGGAGGAAGAGCACAGTCCTAAACTGTTAAGGCTTTGTATATGTAATATAGGAAGAAATACTAGTATTTGCTAGCAGGGCATAATAGGAAGCCATTGAACTAATTAACTTTATGGGTTTTTAAAGGTATTTAAAAGCTCTAATAAAGCATTATTTCAATTTCCTTTACCAGACAAAAATTTATTGGGATTTGCCTCAGTATTCAGACTTCTTTCTTTCATATGACCTCATGTTTGTTTTGTATTTGAACAGGATCATAATCTTTTGTCTTAAAAATAATTTTTTAAACTCACTGCCTATGGACCATAATTATAGTGTTTATTTTGATTACTTTTATAACTAAGTAAGTTTTATTGAAAAACATGTTGGAAACTTGCATTGATAGCTTGATGTTGAGAGTTCGAAAATTAATGCCTCTGCTAAGAGATACATAAACTTTTTGACAGAACAACAGCTAAGATGCTATTGAACATTATTCTTTTATGCTTTTTTTTAATGCATATAAGGCAAATGCAGATGAAGATTTCACTTCTGTAGAAGCTATTTTTATTGGTCATGAGTTTACTTAATCATGTTCTAGTCCAAAATATCAGTAATTCTGATACAGAAAATATTGATAAATAAAATACACTATGTGTATTATTACAGCAATGCAAAGGTACAAGAAACTTTAAAATTAATTTTGGTTTGGTTTGACATAACAAGTTGATGTTCAAGGTTTGCAACGGATGAGTAACTTAGTAGTAGCCATACCTGAAATACAGTTCCTTATTGCATTAGTAACTCATTAGCTGAAGCCAGCAACAACAACAACAACAAAGTAACACAGGCAACTGTTCTATTTCCATTTTTGAGTCTGAGAACTATAAAAAGAATTATATTTCTCAATATCTGCCCAGCATAAAACACAATCCCACAGACCACTCTAAGGAATAAATCATAGGTTAAGCACATATGAAACAAAGAGTTTGTTAGATAAGTTCTAACCAATGTAGTTTCACTAGATTTAGTCCTACTGTTACACACATTTTCATACATTGGAAGTAACTCAGCTGAAGCTACCTCTTCATATGCACATATATATATATATATTTACAAGCATTGATTTGCTAATCCTCACAAGAGCCAAATGCTGTTTCCATTTGATTACAAAGTCTTGTATGGGACTCAATTCCGAGTATTTAATTTCTTTCCCTTTTTTTCCCTAGTTTACACGCTTTGCCAAGGACATATTCTTTATCATCTGGTGCTGCTCTAATAAATGGTTGCAGAGAATGTGTGTCAGGAAACACATGTATAGAGCCAGATTCTGATATTGGCTAACATGAAGTGAATCTAAGTTAAATCACCATGAAATCAGGATCTAAAAGCACCTTCAACAAGTTAGGTTGGGCACTGGAAGTGGCATAGTCACATTAATACAAAATTACACATCAGCTAATGTTTGCTTTTTAGTATGGAAAATGATTAAATATGGAATTGTGTGCTGTCACAGCTGGACTGTCCCTGGTCTACACAGGAGTTGCTTTTTTCTTTAAAAAGCTCCTGAAAATGATCTCATTTATATTACTTTGGGGTCTATATATGGGATTGCATTCTATGAGGTAGAAAAAGATAGAGTCAATTGGTATAATGAATTTAAAGCTCCATAGCTTTGATAGTTGTTGACCCCCTGTCCCTCTTGCAGACTACA